CCCCCCCCTTCTGCTGCTACAATTCCTCGTGGAATCTTCCACCCCCCTCCATCCTTAATAGCACGCATGTCGGGCTTTCTCTCAGGTGCCGCGGCTGCCCCCGAGGCCTCATGGCTTTGTGCTTTTACTGGATGGATTAGTCTCTGTACGCGTCATTCCTTGCCGCTCGTGACGTCAGGTCGTCAGAGCCCCGCAGGGCCAGTGCCCCCCCGCTGCGGGCTCAAGGGGAGGGCGCTGCGTGGGTGTCGCCGCGGTCACCAGGAGGGTGCTTCACAAGCGCGGGAATCTGGTTTTGGTTTTATTCGTGTGAGCTGGTTCATCGCAGGTTTTAGTTATATTTTGCCTATTTTGGTGTATTTTGAACTGACTCACCTTCCCGATCTACCTCCCCCCTTTCCCCTTTCCCCTCTTTCTCTGTCGATGCTACCCATCCGATACGGAAAGTGCTTGCTTCTGTCCCCCGTCTTACCTGCCCGCTACCACCACCCCGCCCAGCGCCCCCCTCCCCCTCTCTCGCTCTCTCTCGGCCACCCACTGCTCGCTGCTGCTGCTGCTAATATTGATCGCGGCCTTTATTCTGCGCATTATTTGAAAAATAAAAAGAGGAGAATGAGAAAAAGTATGGTTATTCGCCCTCCCGCCCCTCCTCCCCTTGGAGCCGACCGCCGCGGTGGCGGGGTGGCGGCGCGTAGCGCAGGCTGGGGCCTCAGGATATTTGAGTTTGGTTTCACTCCCTTGGCCGGCTGGACTTCCGCTCAGCCAGGCAGCAGATCGACTGTCTCCGGAAACGGAACGCGGAATTTGTTTTGTGTTTTCGTCATTGTTCGAGAGGCGGAGGGAGAGGGACGGGAGAGTGGGTTCGATTTTTGGCGTGCGTTTCGTCGGACGTCTTGTTTGCCGAAACGCCCCGGTGTTTATCCGCGCTTTACGTCCGTTTGTTGGATGTATTTTTCATTATTTTATTTTCCCTCTCTACTCGTCGTTGTTGTGTTATCTGCCCCATGACCCTTCCATTGGATAGAGAGCCTCGAATGTACTGGGCCGTCTCGTCTTCTATACGAAAAGATAAAAATATTTGCTTTTACATAAAAAAATATAAACTTTTATTGTCTGTTCGTGTCCTTTATTTTTATTTTTACAAGGTTTACAATTGTATTTTTGTATGTTGCAGGTGAGTCCAGTGCCTCGCAGATGCCGGCACCAAATGTGAGTGCGATCTCGTTGGTGGTAATGTATACAGTCTTTTAAAATGTTGAAAAATTAAAACATGTGGAAGCTTGCCTCTTTTGTAAAGTTCTTGGATCAAGTTCACTGTGCTAGTACAGAAGAGGCCTGTGTTCAAATTTAGTGTGATTAATCTAAAAACTCAGTTTTGGGGGGGTTCCGCTGTGCTTCGTTGCACGTGAAAACTCGTGACGTGGACGTATAAAATGACATTGCTAAATCTCGAGAGATCGCGGAGTGCTGGGCGATGGCGATATTTTGCGCCGCCTGTACTCGCGGTACGTAGTAGACGCGTAGTGGTGGCGTGGCGTGGGCGCCCAGGGCTGGGAGTGTTTGTGAATGGAGCCCGGCCTGTCTGCCCGGCCGCCTGTCCGTCTGTCCGCCGAGGCGCCTGCAGGTGCGCTCGCGGGCGCGCGCTGTCCTTGAGAGCGCTGGGAGGAAGGGGCACTGGCCACCGCGGGCTTCGATCAAAACAAGTGCCTCGCGGATGAGCCGATACTTCGGGACTTGTCTTTTATGTACAATTTGGGCCAATCTATGGGTTAGAGTGATACTTTTGCAAGAAAAATTATGTTTTCGTGAAGCCGTTTGTATTTCGGTCATTTTAGTCAGCTTTCGGGCTGTGGCGCCGCCTCGGCAGTGTGGTCCTGTCCTGCTCCGCGGCGGGATTGGATCCATGAATTATTGTTTTCCTCGTCCGATCTGGATCAGATCTTGATCAGGTTTCTGGAACCGCACTCCGGATATGCAAGCGGCGGCTCCGCCGTGCTCACGGCCCAGGACGCCGCTGGGCGTGGCGGGGTATATCGTGTGGGAAATAATTTTTCTGTTTCCGTCATAACCATTATCCCCCCC